TAAAGCCATGTTGACCACATGATCACAGGAAATGTCTTTAGACAACATTGACTCCCTCAGCCAAGAAATGGAGATAAGTACCATACTTTACATTCCGACATGACTGGACAGGAAAACTTTTACATTTTTGCTCTGAATATTATATACTTAGTTTCATACAGGTTTAGGCTATTTCTCCCCCTAATAAAATGACTGTGAATACTAAGATATCATGCCTGTGAAAAACTTTTGAAAGGTTTTTACACGATGCAAGTGTGGGAATATTTACAACCTACCCTTTATCAACAGTTAATGCCTCCAAATTTGCCAGGCAAAGCAATATTTCTGGGCACACACACACACACACACACAAAGCTTTATGTACATAAAAGATATAGATGTTGTGCTGTAAAAGCGGTTTGATGTGTATGCACAGGAACCTTTTGGTCTGCTATGCAAATGTATAATAAACACAAAACAAGGTCATAACACAGAAGCTTCCTAAAAGTTCATAACTATCTATGTTCACTTGATTCATTTTTCATGTGAAGCAAACATGAGATGGGAATGAAAGAATTTTTTTTAGTTTTTCTCTACAAACACTTTTTCAACAAAACAAAACACAACACAACTGTACATCGTCCATTTTTGCCACCTTTGTCAATCTATGATGACAAAATCAAGTGGAAATTTCTCTCTTCTCAAAAAAATGGAAAAACCAACAAAAAGCCAACAATAACAACCTTGATGAATTGGTGTGTGTGTGTGTGTTTATAATATGCAAAAACAATTTAAGCAGAAAATATCAGTTCCTGCATATACATTTGAAGGACTTCAGATGTCTAAATCTTACAAGTATAAATCTTATTTCAATGTTCAGATAACATACAGTTAAACTCAGAAAGTTTTACTTCCTATTACATATAGAATTCCCTTTTCCAAAACAAGCATAAATTGCAGCAATGTGTTACTTGTACATTTGCATAACGCATACCATTTGTATTAAAAAAGCCTTAATGAAACAGTAATTTCATTTATGCTGTAATGAAACCATGTATTGAGTTCATATAATCACATTATATCCAGCATTCCCATTTTAGTTTTCATATTTCTTAATATTCAATTAACAGGTGTAACAAAAAAGACACACACACACACACACACACATCGGGTGGGAGAGACACAGAGAAAGAGAGAGACAGACAGACAAAAAGACATTTCAGTCTGAATCAATACTCTACAAAAAGAATCCTGCTTCCATAAAGAGCTGATTAACCAAGCTGGTCCAGTGGCAGGTTGGTAGAATCTTTCTTTCTTTCTTTCTTTCTTTCTTTCTTTCTTTCTTTCTTTCTTTCTTTCTTTCTTTCTTTCTTTCTTTCTTTCTTTCTTTTTCTCTCTCTCTCTGTATCTATCTATCTATCTATCTATCTATCTATCATCTATCTATCTATCTCTTCCTTCCTTCCTTCCTTCCCCCCTCTCTTCCCCTATGACTAGTTTAGCCTTCCTTCCTTCCTTCCTTCCTACCTACGTACCTACGTACCTACCTACCTACCTACCTACCTACCTACCTACCTACTGGCTGAAGGCATTCTTCTGAGAATACTGCAAAGCCAGAGAAACATTATTGCTCCTTGAGTCATATTTACAATTTTACAGTTTCATGTATGATTCTTCTTCTTACTACTCCCTATCCTGCAAAACTAATTTGCTTTGCCTGATAGAGTTTTAAATCAGAACCTCAGCATTTCAGTACTATTGCTAGTCTACAAGTAAGAATGGAAGTTTATAAAGCGAGGGTTTTTTCTACATTTTTCATTTAACATATTGCATTTGCTGGATTGTTTGGCAATATCAGTGATTAAACGTCTAGATATAAAATGTAACTATAGCTATCTAGATACAAATTCACACATACATATTCAAACAGGTTGAACTATCTGCTTTGTTAAAAGTGTCAGCTTTTCCATTGGTTGCCTTACCTATTGCATAATATCTATACTGTATCAAGATATTATTGTAAGATAAAACCCATACATTGTCTGTAAGACAAATAATTATCCATAGTATAAATATGATTACAGAGTAGATGCACATCCATCTACTTCTATATCCTCAGGGCAAGGAAAAATAACCGACATGGGCAATCTACTATGTAACTCCAGGAATGTTTAGTTCAACACAGATAAGAATAAACTGGCTAAATCTTTCTGAACCAAATTCCAGGTCAATTTCCTAATCATCACATATTTGCTCTCATGTCTGAAAGAGAAATCTTCCACATGGAGAGAAAGTAACTGTTAGGGGTATGAGGGGTGTGGTCAGGATCCATTCGTTATCGGAGAGAAGATGCAACATTTTGAAGTTCCCCTGTGGTTTCTTTTGGAGATAGCAAATATACTCAGCATATATCTCTGTGGAAAATCATAAAACTGTGTCTCACTTAGTTTGGCCATGCCGTGCAGGGAATTGACAGTTGGTCTCTGACAGAAGGCCACCTGAAGAGACTAGAAGCATTTGAAATGTGGATTTACATGCGGCTGTCACGTATAAGCTGGGTTGACAAGATCAGAAATGAGGAATTGATAAGCTGCCTGGGAAAGCCAAGGGAAATCATCAAAACAATTAAAAAAAACGAAAATTAGAATATTTCGGACATGTGATGCGACACCCAGAAAAATACGGCATACTCCATTTAATCCTCCAGGGAAAGATAGAAGGCAAACAAGGTCCAGGCAGAAGAAGAACATCATGGCTTCAAAATCTAAGGGACTGGTTTGGACAAAACTCAGCAGCACTTTTTCGTGTGGCTGCTAATAAAAACAGGATCGCCAACATGATCGCCAACATCCGATACCGGATATGGCAGAAGAAGAAGAAGAAGAAGAAGAAGAAGAAGAAGAAGAAGAAGAAGAAGAAGAAGAAGAAGAAGAAGAAGAAGAAGAAGAAGAAGAAGAAGAAGAAGAAGAAGAAGAAGAAGAAGAAGAAGAAGAAGAAGAAGAAGAAGAAGAAGAAGAAGAAGAAGAAGAAGAAGAAGANGAGGAGGAGGAGGAGGAGGAGGAGGAGGAGGAGGAGGAGGGAATTTCACTGGAGAATGCAATTATGTTTGGAAGTGTTAGGATGTAAAAGGAAACCTGGCTACCAAAGAACACCATCAAACCTGACACCAGCCAGAGCACAAAAAAACTCAAAGAAGTAGTGCAAGATTGGAAGATGTAGAGATACCTGGCCCACAAAATTGCCAAGAATCGGACTGAATGGATAACATCATCATCATATCTCTGTACATCAGCAGTGGCTCAAAGAAACCATACTGCCAATTTTTGACCAGAAAATTGATAGTCCATGAGTTGCCTCCTTGAAGAAGCCACTAGTTCTTTTAGACATGACACAGAAGAAATCAGAAAATGAGGAGAGAGAAAAAAAATATCTCCAGACATTTGATATGTCTTTCTTTTGTTACCTTTAATGGACTTTTGTCTTCCCACCGGCAATATGAACATTAACTGCTGCTTGCCACATTTCCCGAAGTTCAAATTAAAATATAAATATTGCATGTTCACCTGACTGAATAGCTTTTGTTAAAGCTAAAACAAAACAATTGGAAGTAAACACAAAGTTAAATGGAGCTTACGTGCCCAAGTAATTTATGCACTGGATTGCAGTCGCAAGCTGAAATATTAATTTCAACATTTTATTTATTTTTCCTTTAGTTTTGAAGTGTCTGTAGTAGTTCAATCAATATGTTAGTTCTTTGTAGGAAAGAAGAGAAAAGCTGAAGGACACATTTAGAATATTTGTATTGACCATGGGCTCTTTTGGTTGTATGACTGATTAGTATAAACATTTGGCTTTAAAAATTTATCAGTAGGACACTGATTAACCTATTTTTTCAAGGATCAATATTAGTGTGTACAGATGTATCAGTCTGAGTTTTCATGTTATTATGTGCAATGTTTTCTTAAGTTATTCAATGCCTTAGTAATGAGGAATAATATTTTAAATGTATGATCACAGACCAGAATTGGGTCCTAGGAAATAATACACATTTTTCTGGCTTCAGCCTCACAAGAATAATACAAGAAACAAATTTTAGTACTTTTAAGCCCAGCAGCATTTTAAAAACCATGGAGGAGGCATGAAATGGTCTTTATTGATCAACAGGATGAAATAATACAGAAAAGGGGGGGGAATCAAGCTGATGACTAGAATATTGCAATCAAAGATCTGCCTTTTTTATGTGTCATCATCTTGCTTTTTGGATTGCACCCTGAGGACAGTCTGCAGTAATGCATTCCCATTTACAATCTGTTCCTTAACCACCAAGCTATATTAATCATAACTAGAACTTCAATTGTTTTTCATTTTAAATAATCATTCTCCCTAAAAAGCACAACTTTAAACTAAATACAGAATTATCTATTTTTATAGATGGGGGGAGTAAATAATGAGTAGAATGGAGTGGCGTGGCGTGGCGTGGCGTGGCGTGGCGTGGCATGGAATGGAATGGAATGGAATGGAATGGAATGGAATAGAATAGAATAGAATAGAATAGAATAGAATAGAATAGAATAGAATTCTTTATTGGCCAAGTGTGATTGGACACACAAGGAATTTGTCTCCAGTGCATAAGCTCACAGTGCTTATACTCACAGTGCTTTTGGCCACTACTATAATTCATCCATCGTACCCTAATATTATTTTCCTTTATTACACCTAGAATGGAATAGGAGTACACATTAAGTGAAAAGTTATCTAGTATCTGGACAAAATAAGCATGAATCCAACAATCCTTCGAAGAGCAGAATGAGATTGCCTGTACATTTCAGAAGTGAAATTTACAAGTGTAAATTGTAAATGTACACCCTACAAGTGTAGCGTGATACCTCTGTCATCCATTAATCCAGATGATAGAAACTGCTCATGTTATTAATGTACTCGTCTCCTATTGTTGTTAAAGAAAGATGAACACGAGAATCAGGGTCCATTCCTGAAAACATAATTCAGTGCATAAGCCTTACCTGTATATGCGAACTGAACGAGATCCCAAAGTGCACCAGGATCAATGCCTTCCATTTTGATTTCTTCTTGCTTGGCTTCGCAAACATCATTCGTAAACATGGCAGCAAAGTAATCCGAAACTGAGCTGAGTACAAGCCTGGGGGCAATGTGAGGAGAGAGAAGGGCAGAGATGGAGAAAGAGAAGGAACATATCTGTTAACTTACTGTATTTCAGTGCAGTCTACTTCTGAAAATGTTCAACCAGCAACAAGTGTGGTAAATGCTCAAAAGTCATGGAAATGCCAACTTTATAAACATTTTTTTGGAAACAAGTTCTGCTGAATCACATATTCTCTTCCAAGTAAAAGTATAGTAGAGCAGTCTTACTCTGCTGGCATTTAATAAAACTCAGTAAATGAACTCACAAAAAAAATGTGCATTGAAGCATCAAATAAGTAGCCAAATATTTATTTTGATGAAGGTGGCTTTTGGAAAATAAATAAATAAATGAGGTCACCTATTTATGCACCTGATAGGAAGAGAATTTTCTTCTCTTCTGCTTCTTCTGTCCTTCAGTACTGTAGTATCATTTGGTCTACTTCTTCCTATTCTTAAATCCAACTCCATTTATATGTCTCTTTCATCCATGTCTAATTGCTTAAATTAAATTCCTTGGTGGGGTATTTCTCTATTGGATAGATCTGGCCAGATATGGTGGCCTTCAAGGATTTGATGATAGATGATGGACCGTTGGCATTTTCCACACAGAAACCAAGTAGAACTATGTGGTTTTGTAGGTAAGAGTGAATCTTATATGTCCATTGAGTATTTTCATGAACATCTGTTTACATGATGTAAAAAACAGTTTCCTGGATATGAGCAGGATATCAAACCCTTTATAAGAGTTGTGTGCTGCTTTTCAGCCACAGAAGCAACCAAGGTAGCTTAAAAAAATTAACTGTATGATAAAATCACACCATCTTCATTAGTGAAGCAACACTAACAGCAAATGAATAAAGCAGAAGAACCATGAGTAAGATACACATTCCAAACAGAGCAAAATTAAACTCTTTGAAGAGATAGATTATAATGATAAAAATGTCTGTTGAAAAAGAAGGTTTTATCTATATGCATAAAACTAAAAGTTAGGAAATCAAGAAAGTTAATTTCTACCACCTTGATACTATTACTCCAGTTCTACTTTGAAAAAAAAAAAAAACATACACAGCTGTCACAGGCAAAAATAAAAAGTAGCCTGAGTGCTTTTCTCTACAAAATATACTCAGCCATTAAGGATGTTCCCGGCTAGTGAAAAAAAATATATCTAAAAACCACTTTCATTATGATCAATAATGGAATCAATCCCAATGGAAAAAGTCTCCACGTTTTTCTTTGCATTCTGATCACGCCTCTTATGCGATAGACTGAAAGCAGGTAAATGCCTGAACTTTTTGAAATATGTATTTTACAACTTTATCTCTTTTTATTTTTAACAAGTAAAGCTGCAATTGTCAGGCAGTATTACTTTTTCATCTGCGCATTGTTCTCTCTCTTTTTCAATTATTTAACCAAATAGTGCAGTGGTTCTCAACCTGTGGGTCGGGACCCCATTTGGGGTCGATCGACCATTTCACGGGGGTCGCCAAGCAAGGCTGTCCACCATTTTTTTTGTCCATTTTTTTTTGTCCGACATTTTTTTCCCCTTTTCTGGAGGGGGCCTTACCTCCCTTGGGCTGGGCCAGCTGGTGGTCGGCCTGCTCCGTCTCTGCCGCTTGCCAGCTACGCCTCGGTCGGCGCAGGGGGTGGAACCACGCATGCGCGGCGCTCCCGGGCAGGGAAAGTCCCCGACTTACGATCGGTTGGGTAGTCCTCGACTTATGACCGGTTTAGTCCTCGACTTACGACCGGTTTAGTCCTCGACTTACAACCGGTTTAGTCCTCGACTTACGACCGGTTGGGGTCGCAGCATTAAAAAGGTTGAGAACCACTGAAATAGTGCCTGGTAATTAATCTCATTCAGGAAATCTTCCTGAATTCATCATGTGCTATTGATTTCTGAACTTCCAAGGACTGGAGGGAGTGGTACGTTTTGGTTGAGACGCCTACTCACCGGGAAAGGTCAATTGTATTTAAGATATCATTTTTTTTCTCCCTCCAATTACTGCTACTTCACAAGAATAAGTTCTACAAGAAATAAACTCATGAACTCTGCTTCTCTCATGTATTGTTGCATAATATGTGGAGTCCAAAGCGTTTGACTTCAAAATTAATTGGATATAAATACAACCCATTTTAATATTTCCAGAATACATTTAATTAAACCTTCTGCTTCCATGTATTCTCCTTGATTAGTTCCCAAGCTTCTGCCCAAATTGGAACAATATGAAAATCACAAACTGTTCTTACACTCAGAATATTTAATGCATCATTTGACTTTATCAGTGATAACAGTTAAATAATGACCCTGTTTTCTTACATTCTGCAAGATATCAGCAAGCTAATCCTTAAGAGTAAATGTACATGTTGTGATGTGAACAATACATGAATTTTCTTGTCTAGGAAATTCTCAGTCATCCAAGTCATCCTTGTTCTAAAGGTGCTTTTTCAAGAGGCAATTGGACTTCCTTTTTTTTTCTTTGAAGACATTTCACTTCTTATCCAAGAAGCTTCTTCAACTCTTACTGGATGGTGGGGAATGGAAGGATTTATACTCCCTGCAGATAGCTGGTCATTTGCATTCTTTTAGAGAGTCGTTGAGGCCATCTGTGTCCTCAGGGTCACCTGAGTAATGAAAATGGGTGTGGAGCCTTCTTGGAACTGCTGAAAGGACTGTGTTCTGATCTCATCATTTCTAAATCCAGCTGATATTTAAGAAATGTTGATGCTGTAAATGGGTTTCATCTTCTAAACTTGCTCTAGTACAGGGGCGTCAAACTCGCCACGTCACGTGATATGTCGCAACCTATCATGACTTTTTCCCCCTTGCCGGAGCTGGGGTGGGCACGGCTTCCATGTGACGCATGCAGCCCACGGGCCGGCAGTTTGGCACCCCTGTTTTAGTAGATCAGGAACAGAGAGCAGGTGGCAAGAATGGAAGTCTCTCCCCCTTCAAAAAAAACCCTGGTTATTACAGGTGGGTGCTGAGCAAAGGTAAAATTCACAGGACACTGGGGAGCCCCAGCTGAGACCGTCATATATCATTAAATGTCTTTTTCATTTGCACCACCTAAGCATTTATCTTATGCATGATATGGAAATGTGAGTGTATTATATACTACAGGGTCCCCAACCCCCAGGCTGTGGCCCACTCAGGCCCACGGCCTACTTGGAATCGGTATGAGTGGTGGACCAGCACGCATGTGCAGTTCCATTCACACAAGCAGCGCCCCAAAGGCTTCTCTTATCTCTTGTGTGAGTGAAGCTGCATGCACATGTGCGCGCTGTCCTGCTACTCTGCCCCCCACCCCAACTGGGCCACCAAGCCACCTGCTCCTGATGCTCCAAAAGGGGAGCAGTGAGAGTATAGGCTGAGTAGGGCAAGCATGCCCTGCTCAGCTTCGCTGATTCTGCCTGGGCAGGACACCCGATCCACTTTTGGAGCAGTGAGTCTAAAGGAGCACAAGACCGCGTACCAAAGGCTTCTCTTCTCTGTATTAAAAGCTTTTGTAAATGGATAAGAAGCTTCAGGGGAGCGATCTCATGCTGCTTCAGGCCTTCAGTCACTTTGGAAAAGTTTTTGGCCCAGAGAAGGAGCATGAAACCACACCACAAAAAGCTTCTCTTGTGTGAGTGGAGTTCTGCACGTGCGTGCATTCACACGGCCCAGTTCCCCTGTCCTCTCCTCCCCCCCCCCACCCCAGCTGGGCAGTCAAGCTGCAAAGGTTGGGGAACCACTGATATCCTATATGTGTGTCAGCTATTCTAAAAGAAAAACGTGCTTTCAGATAGCCTGGAAATCTGAAACAGACTATCAATACGTTTGCATCTTTAACCGTGAAGATAAACTGTGATTCAGCTTTATTTCAGAGGGAAGCTTATGACCCTTATCATTTATTGCTCCGAAAAATTCTGATTGCTACTGAACTGAAATAGCTGTTAAATCAAGTTCAGTCAAGATACAGATGAAAACCAATCTTCCCATTAAATACCAACTTTGCACTAGAGGAACAGAATTTGCATTTTTCATATAGAACATATTTGGCAAAATAAATACTTTATTACAATGTTTTTTGATGCAGTTTAAACACTAGGTTTTTTTTTTTAAAAAAAATTTGATACATAGATATGGGATGAAAGAGCTACAGAAAAAAAAATTGAGGCCTCCTTTGCTTTTTTGCCAAGCTTACAATCAGTGTGGCCTCAAATATGCTCAGCCTTCAAAAGAAAAACTATAAAGAGCTACATAAATTCTATTACATGGTTTAAATCTTTCGCTCTCCAATTTTTTATCTTAGCTAGAATCTTTTCCTCTACCAATCAAATAAACTTCTTGTTGTGTTTATATTGGACCACTAATAAACATTTAATCTTCGTTACACAAACACAAATCTTTAAATAAAATGTTAAGGTAGGAATTAAAACCATCATATCAACAGTCAGACCATCACTCTTCATAATCGTAAGCTTACACCATTAAATATTTCTCTTGTTAAGAGGAAACTCTTCTTGAAGAATTGAACATGTTTTTTTAAATAATAATAATAATAATAATAATAATAATAATAATAATAATAATAATAATAATAATAATAATAATAATAATAACAACAACAACAATGACATACTTTCAAGAATGAGGGCCAACTGCAGCTGGTATTTTGATTGCTTTTTCACTCCTGCCTAACAAATGGCTCTTATAACTCCTTTAATACATACCTGTGTGCAGGTATCTTACGGTTCCCAGCAATTAAAATAACATCACAAAGCTGCTGTTGCTTCAGGTAGCTTTCCATCTTTCTGAAGGTCTGCTCAGCATGGTGAACAGCTTGGTAGAATTCTTCAGAAGTACTAAGATCCATATCGCACTGAGGAGTCAAAGGATGATTGGCTGCTGAGTGCCTATAAATCACAAACACAGAAGGAAGAAAGGAAGGAAGGAAGGAAGGAAGGAAGAAAGGAAGGAAGGAAGGAAGGAAGGAAGGAAGGAAGGAAGGAAGGAAGGAAGGAAGGAAGGAAGGAAGGAAGGAAGGAAGGAAGGAAACGATGAATACCTTTTCCAGAAGTTAATCAAAAGCATTTCAAAGCTGATAAGAAAATAATTCAATTTGCCTCTCCTGCCCTCATTACAATTGTAATAGAAGTCTCTTAGTTATCTAAATTAGGTACAAAATCAGTATGCCATTACTGAGAAATGTATCTTCGTTATTACACAGGAAAAAAAGCACAAAAATTAAGCATAGCTAGTTGATTCATTTTATTTCCTATATCACGGGTATTCTGGTTGTTATTCAGTTATACTTTCTTAATTTTTGTTACAAAAAAGACTTAATAGTACACAACCATCTCTCTTTCCTAACCAAGCAGACAATAAGACAAACTCCAGGAGACTTTTTCCTCATATTCGGCTCTTGCATGTTTCTCGCAATAAATTCCCTTAGGACTGCATTGATTCCCTTAATAACTATGGCATTCACTTAATGACGGTCACAAAAAAGATCATAAAATTGGGTTAGCCCATTAGAAGCGTCAACTTACAACAATCATCATCATCATCATCATCATCATCATCATCATCAAGTTGGAAGGGACCTTGGAGGTCATCTAGTCCAACCCCCTGCTCAGGCAGGAAAACCTATACCAGTGATGGCGAACCTTTTAGAGACCGAGTGCCCAAACTGCAACCCAAAACCCACTTATGTATCGTCGGGTGCCGGGTGGGTGTGGCCCATTGGGCGGGCGTGGCCCATTGGGCGGGCATGGCTGAGGTGGTAACGGCAGACTGGGTGTGACTAAAAAGTTCAATCAATCAATTCCAACTTTGCAAGATCTTTTTTTTTCCTGGGAGAAGTTGAAATTGATTGATTGATGGAACCCCCTTTTTTTTTGCACATGGCGGCGGAGGGCTAAAGCAAAAACATTTTATAAAACCCAGCTGAATGCCTAGGACTGGGGTGACGCTGCGCGTGCCCACAGAGGGGGCTCTGCGTGCCACCTGTGGCACACATGCCATAGGTTCGCCACCATGGCCCTATACCATTACAGACAAATGGCTGTCCAGACTCTTCTTAAAAACTTCCAATGTTGGAGCATTCACCGCTTCTGGAGGCAGGTTGTTCCATTGGGTAACTGTCAGGAAATTTCTAGATTGCTTCTCTCTTCGGTTAGTTTCCATCCATTGCTTCTTGTCCTGCCTTCAGGGGTTTTGGAGAATAGCTTGACTCCCTCTTCTTTGTGGCAGCTCCTGAGATATTGGAATGCTGCTATCATGTCACCCCTCATCTTTCTCTTCATTAGACTAGACATACCCAATTCCAGTAACCGTTCCTTATATGTTTTAGCCTCCAGTCCCCTGATCATCTTTGTTGCTCTTCTCTGCACTCTTTCTAGAGTCTCAACATCTTTTTACTCACAGTGGAAATTCCAGGCTCCATTATAGTCACGAGCTGAAGAACTGTACCTCTCTAAGAAACTGTTTATGGCTAGGGTCTTCAAACCTTGCCCTTTTATGACTTGTGGACTTCAACTCTCAGAATTCCTCAGCCAGCGTGCTTGGCTGAGGAATTCTGGGAATTGAAGTCCACAAGTCATAAAAGGGCCAAGTTTGAAGACTCCTGGTTTATGGGGTTAGTCTATGCAAGTGCCAACTCTGATCAACCAAAGTAATTGGCCAATGGAATGGGAACGGTCAATGAAAAGCATTCAGAATCCACAAAATTACAGATAGCAACCAATTTTGGATCAATTGCTTCTCATTGTCAGCTGAAATACATCACCATTCAGAATACAGAGGGATGGGTGAATGGATGAAAGAAGACATAATCTTTTACAATCTTTTCTACAGCTGATTATAAAAAAATTGCATTTATTTATTTCTCTGAACAATCGGACTTATCGTTAAATATCTTTTGATTCAGAGGTGAAGGTAAAATATGTCTGAACTTGCTTATTTCGGAGAAAGCAACAAATTTTCTGGGCAACTAGATGATTTCTAATTGGAGGGTGAAAGAAATGGAAATGCCATTAGAATTTGATCTTTATTGGATAGAAATGGATAAAATAATGTTTGTCTCCAAGTATGGTTTAATTTAAACAGGATTAAAATTAGAAAAAGCAAGCAGCTCAGTGAGTGCTTTTTTTTTTCTTTTTTATTGTGAGTTTTTTTAAAAAAATATATAGTTTGATATCTTCTGGTGATAAGGCACCTGTCCTAGAAAGATGTGGATAACTATTTTTTATTTCTTCTGAATTCTTTTTTCTTTCTTTTTCTTTTTCTTTTTACACTTTGGTCATATGGTGGGCCAGAACCTACCAAAACTGTATTGACAGTTAGTCAGAAAATAATAAAACATTGATTTTATTCACTTTTCAGAACCCTCCAATGTACTGTTCAGGAAATTATGTCCATTTTTTACCCAATTTGTCTACTGTAAAATAATTTATTCATACTGTTGAATACTGTTAATTTATACAGGAGGATAAGGAGGAAGAGGAGGAGGAGGAAGGAGAGGAGAGGAGGAGGAAAAGAAAGGAGAGGAGAGGAGAGGAGAGGGGAAAAGGAGAGGGGAGGGGAGGAGAGGAGAGGGAAGGAAAGGAGAGGGAAGGGAAAAAGGAGAGGGGAGGGGAGGGGAGGAGAGGAAAGGAAAGGGAAAAAGGAGAGAGAGGAAAGGAGAGGAGAGGAAAAGAAAGGAAAGGGGAAAAGGAGAGGGGAGGGGAGGAGAGGAAAGGAAAGGTTTTACCTATACACAATTCTTAAGAAACCAAAAAAAAAAAAAAAAAAACCAGACCATAAAAGCACAGACACAAACACACAATGCTGCTTGGTGAGCTGCCAAGTAGGATTATTAGACACAAAGTGAAGTCAACTCTCCTTTAAATATTTGATCAGCTGTTGTGCAAATAGTCCCAACTCCACGGTGTCTTGTCAGGCTGCAAAGAATATTTTCGGAAGTGACAAACCCAAACAGTGAGACACCCGTGACAAGATGAATTAGGATTCTATGTGAAGCATCTAGTCTTTTGAAAACCACACATATAAAATCTCATCCTAAATGCCAACTCCATTTTTCAGGACCCTGTGGTGGATTTTTTTTTAATATCTGGACCTTCTTTGATATTAAATAAATAACGATAATGAAAATGCTTTGGTTAAAAAAAATCCTTTTTAGATTTAGAATGGAGAGATTGGTATTTTCTCTTTTCAGCAAGCTTTCACTCATAGAAAGCTGTCCAACTGATTTTTTTTTTAAAGGATATTTCTAGTGACAAGCTGTACTTGTAGTGTGAAGTGATTTAAGTTTCTATTAGCAAATTCATTATGTTTTTCTTTTCCTCTCTTCCTTCCTTGATTATTTGTTATCTTCTATCCAAAATGCATCTGGGTTTGAAATACTAAACCTAACCAATTACCTATTGGATCATGCTTACATCAGCTACTATAAAGTACACAATTCAGTTTAATAGTATGAATTTGAGAAAGGAGACTTGTTGAAATGTTATGAAAGTTAGGAATTCATCTTTCTTTTATTCATAGAAAGAAATAAGCAGAATATTTTAGATTAACAAAATGTATAGAGTTTTCTAATCTTAAAAAAAAATAGGGGAGCCATATGACATCACGTGAAGTATTAATATCATTTTACAAGGCCTTGGTAAGGCCACACTTGGAATACTGCATCCAGTTTTGGTCACCATGATGTAAAAAAGATGTTGAGACTCTAGAAAGAGTACAGAGAAGAGCAACAAAGATGATTAGGGGGCTGGAGGCTAAATCATATGAAGAATGGTTGCTGGAATTGGGTATGTCTAGTTTAATGAAGAGAAGGACGAGGGGGGACATGATAGCAGTATTCCAATATCTCAGGTGCTGCCACAAAGAAGAGAGAGTCAAACTATTCTCCAAAGTGCCTGAAGGCAGGACAAGAAGCAACAGATGGAAACTAATCAAGGAGAGAAGCAACCTAGAACTAAGGAGAAATTTCCTGACAGTTAGAACAATTAACCAGTGGAACAACATGCCTCCAGAAGCTGTGAATGCTCCAACACTGGAAGTCTTTAAGAAGAGATTGGACAGCCACTTGTCTGAAATGGTATAGGGACCAGACTGGCTGGCGATGGACTTGTGCGCATGCGCAAGGCGCAAAAAAGGGTTCTTCCCTATTGGCTGGACTGCCTGGGTTTGGAGAGACTATAAAAGGCCTGCACGCCTGTTTGGTCGAGAGTTGAGTTGAGGAACGAATAAAGAAGTACTTGGTTACAACATGTGTCGTGCTTCAATGCCGCGAACCCCAAAACATAAAAATACCCATTTGAACTGTCTGGATCTCTTGATTTTCCTTGCATTTGACCTAAACTAGCATAAATGGCTTATAGTCCGTATAATTGAGATACTTCTCCCTTGACTTCCTCATTCATTTGAATAGCCATTTCAGTATTACTAAGGTAGGCAATAGCAATAGAACTTAGACTTATATACTGCCCCGTATGCAGCACAAGATGGAAGCATTATTTGCATATTGCCCCCAACAATCTGGGTCCTCATTTTATCGACCTCAGAAGGATGGAAGGCTGAGTCAACCCTGAACCCCATCACATTCAAATTGCTGATAGGGCTCATACAATGATAAATAGGGTTAGATAAATCTCTACTATCAAAATAAATAAAAAAGCTTTATTATTATTGTTGTTGTTGTTTTGATGTTGTTTTATTGTTGTTTTATTCTTCTTATTATTATTGATCATCACACAGTCAGCCTGATGTTCAGACTGGATTTGGTATTTTTGTTTGCCTATTGAGTCCTTACCAAGGACCTGGGATAGGCAGATGTGGATGTTTGGTGGTATTACAGATATTGTTTCAGGATGGAAGCTATTCCCAGTATGGCCACCTTTTGCAATTGACT